AAACTTTTTTTTTTGAATTTTTTTTATAAAAAATCGCAGCTTTTTATTAAAATTCGCTGAAAAAAAAATTAAAAAGTCAATTTTTTTTTTTTATAAAAAAAAGTTTTTTTTTCAAATTTTTTTTCAGCGAATTTCTTTAAAAACCTGCGATTTTTTCATAAAAAATGTCAAAAAAAAGTTTTGTGATCTCTAGGTATTTTTTTATGCATTTTTATGATTTTTGAGGTTTTTTTAGGGTTTTTTTGTTTTCCAAATAACCCTTCCCTATATATATATATAAGAAACATACCACAATGGAACAACATTGCCAATAGAGATTTCCTTGAATCCAAGCCCAAGGATACCGTCAAACCTCCCCGCCAAAAATGTGACACCAGACTCCCGCGTTGCCTCAATGAATATCTAATTATGTCATAAAATGATATTTTTTTAAATTTTGTCTTTTTACTAAGTTGAAGCTAACAAGAATAAGGACGTTGTTGTGAAAATCACCTGATCGTCAACAATTAGATCACCAACTTTAACATTATCTTGGCTAAAATTTCCAGATATTGAATCTGTACCATAGTGGATAGTAGCAAATTTGCCTACAAGTATGAAAACCAATATGTATAAAAATATTAGTTAGAGTGAAAACATGGAAAGTTCAAATGTTTATTACTAATATATGCACAAGCGATTGATCGGAATTGATTTCTAGTTAAACGGTACATGATAATGAGATGACATGTATAAACAATTTCAATGCACCTAATATGTATAAACAATGTCAATCTAAAATAAAGCCACATCAAGTGCACAAGTTTTAGAAAAAAATAAATATTCTCCTGTCTTTTCTTCCTACCTGTTCTCCTATTCGTATAAGATTATAATATGTGGATATCAAGAATTACCTCTCTTAATTTTTACACGTGTCTTGATCTAGTGGGTAGGAAGATAAGTAGGAAGAAAAAATATGAAGATATTTGATTTCTCCAACTTTTATGTAGTTATGTAACTATAAACAATGTCCATGTACCTACTGTGCAAACAAGACGGTGGCTTCATATTAATAAAGAATTTCCCAACAAGACTGTAAGTATTTTATTATGATATTTAAAAAAAACATGTGACTATAAGTGTTTTATGATAACAGATAAATTTCATGTGAATGTCTAAAATTTATGACATCTAAAAAACGTAATACATGTAACTAAAAGTATTTTATAGTCACGTTTTAATTTTTATGTGTATATAAATGTAAAAAAAATAGTAACAATAAAAAGAAAAAAAACATGTAACTATAAGGGTTTTATGGTGACAGTGTTGGAAAGTGAAATCGTTATTTGGAGAGAGTTCAATTTTCCCCATTATCTAAAATATTTTAGTTTTCTCTCTTTACTAAAATTTCAACATTTTTTCCTTCTTTAAAAAAATTAAATGCTTTGATTTCTCTCTTTCTTAAAAAAAGACCTAAACCGAATCCCTCTTATCTATTTTTCTCTATTGTAGCCGTCGTCTAGTAGTCGGTGGTTCCCCTCTGCTCCACCTCCTCCATTCCTCACCTCCACCATTATATCTTCACCACCACTCCCGACTACAAAAAAAAAAGAGAAGAACAATAAGGAGCAACATATGCAAGATTGCGATTACAAACCTATACACCTTCTTCGATCCATTTTTACCACCACATGGAGATTCCGTCTCCAACCTCACCCTTAGATTCTCTGGTAATCGAAAATCGGAGAACTTAATCCAATATTCGTCTCCTTATGCTTCTCCTTATTCATCATCTCCATCTCCATGTTCCTGCTTCTCCTTGTTCATCATCTCCATCTATAGTTTCTCATTCAGATTCTTTTTTAGGTAAAGATGATTACTTGTCTTTCATGTGATCGAATTACACTTTCTAAAATAAACTAAGTGATTCTGACTACATTTGTAGGTTGTTTTACCTCAATCTTTCAAACGTCGACTGCAAATTTATGAAATGGTTGTGTAAGTCCCGAATACCTCCTATCTTTGTGTTTTGTTGTGATTTTTAGTTGATTTAGACGATTATGCTCCAAGTTCCAAGTTCCTAGATTCAAATTCGACTCATATTCTACAAAGAAGGAGAGTTTGGTCAGGGGATGTGGTTCATCAGTCTTGACCTCCAAATCTAGCAGGATACTTAGATGGTCTTTAGTTAAAATCCTCATCTCTTGAAGAGGTTGTTACAGAAACAATATGACATAACTTCAATGGTCTAAAAATGAAACATATTAGTTAAAATCCCTTTAACTGCAGGAAGTTGTTGATAAGTTAGGGTCACGCCTGGAGTTCATACTTCAGCACCTAATATGTGCCTTTGGGAAATACTAGGTTACTTCACAGTCTTTTGTTGATTATACTTACAAACAAATTGTTTAACTTTATCTGAAGTTTCATGTTTTTATGGTATGTAGAGGAGGAATATTATAATTGTTTATGATGATATTGGTACTTTAACAGATTCAGTTGGAGGGGAATTGAATCAGGTAATGTATATTAAGGTCAGACAAAAGTTGTAGTATTTTGTCCCACCCGAAAACAT